CCTGTAGAATACAGACTGTAGCCTAAGCAATAGACCTGTAGCCTACAGACTGTAGCCTAAGCAATAGACCTGTAGCCTACAGATTGTAGCCTAAACAATAGACCTGTAGACTACAGACTGTAGCCTAAACAATAGACCTGTAGAATACAGACTGTAGCCTAAACAATAGTCCTTTTTACCATAACTTGTAGAATTCTGGCGCGCTGATTGGTCGAGAGCCATCGAGCACAGGACAGACCAATGAAATGATGAATCGCTCGCGCACGGAGCCAGGGCGTGCTAGAAACAGTTTTGTTTTGAAAGTTTTACTTTGTTTTCGGCTTTTTTGAAATCGCGTTTCTATGGTCTGTACGGTTATCGACAATTCAAATGATGCCAGAAAATGATCAAAACTTGGCAGCGAAACCACTCGCTATTCTCGTGGTTCCACTTGAGTTTTGATCATTTTCTGATGCCATTTTCATTGTCGATAACCATACAGACCATAGAAAAGCGATTTCAATTTGTTAAGTAGACTACAGGCTGAACACTAAGCAATAGACCTGTAGCTGACAATTAGCTTATACAATAAACCTGTAGTCTTCTAGTTTGGGTAATTTGACAGGCTTTGTTTGCTACTGGTGTCTAATTGATTATATTATTGTTTTTATTTCTTTCAGACTCATTAAATGGCCTACAAGACTTAYCAAGCTTGCTCCAAAGGAGACCTTGCAAAAGTAAAGGAATGTTTAGAAAAACCAGAAACAAAGAAAAAAGARCTTTTGTCTACATTTTTCAGTGATTCATTTTTTAATAACAGAACTTTACTTCATACAGCTGCTCTTAAYGGGCATGATAAAATAGTAAAACTTCTGTTAGACCATGGAGCTAAGGTTAATTGTTCAACACTTTCTGGAAATTATTCTGCGCTACACTTAGCAGTGCATGGTAAACACAAATCSTGTGTTGAAGTGCTACTAYGCCATRAAGATATTGATGTTACTGCAAGAGATGAGTCTGGAAAGACAGCTTATGAGCATGCTTTGGAGWCCTCATCAAAAGACATCCCTGTTGTGCTTAAAACTGCAGGTATTTTATATCTAGTAATTAGTTCATTTCAATTGTTTAAAAATATTCAGGACTGTCTTCAAGGTCAATGTTATAGTAGCATCAAACTTTATGGTAGTTGACTAGAGACCTATAGGTTACCTCTCAGTTCTCAAGTTGCAGTTCTACACCATRAGCTTCGCAAACATTTCAAACCTATTGGTAGTCAGAGCAGTGCGTGCCAAGGAGCACTGGGTTTGCATACCCATCTGCAAGGAATTTAAAGGTCTGCATGAAGTATGTGCTATGACAAATTTGACATCAGTCACCTTCGTGTAATTTATAATTGGCCTTATGCCAATAACAATTTTAAAATCAAATTGTAACAAGTGACTGCAACTAATGAAAAATGATCTGGTTGCGTGGCCCTAGCAATTGTTTCTAGTGTTAAATATATTGAATAAATGGGGGACAAAGTGCACCAGTGTTCATACTACTCTTTGAAAAAACCCTGGGCTTTATTTATGGTTTTAAAATTAAATGGTTAAACTTCTGGAATAGGATGCCCCTTTATCGTTATGCAGATATGGTGTTATTTCTAACTCCTATCCACAAAATGAATAAATAAGATTGATTGATAAATAAATGGTTAGGTTGGGTAATTATGTTAACTCTGTTGGGTTGCTTCAGTAATCACAATGCATGTATTTGGTCATTTAAAATTGGTCTTTCATTGTTATTACTATCTGTTTTGTGCAGTTAACTTGCTGGAGACGTTTTGTGTTGGCTAAGCAAGCGCAGTTTCAAAAATTTTTATGTTATGTTTTTCAGAGGTAATGCAAGCTGCCAGGGGAAGCAATCACAAGGATTTAAAGGAAATGCTTCAAAGCATTGATGACAATGGAATTTCAGATGAWTGTTTTTCCCAAGCACTACTGGAAGCTGTCTATAAAGACGAGCCAAATCATGGCATCATCGAAGTGATTCTTATGCAAGCAGCAGCAAAAAATGCATCTCTTGACATCTTAACTTGCATCAATATCTGTTTCCAGCGAGAACCAGTTGATATAAAACTAGCATGGCTATTAATGGTGTGCTGGATGGCAAAGGAAAATCAGTCAGAGCAACTTGSCTACTTTCTTGGAACCCTAGTTRACTGGATACCTTTGCAGTCAGATGATAGGACACTGGATGAGTTGGTTTCTTTGTATCCACAAGAGATACAGTTAATCAGGTAAAAGCTTTACATAAATATGAAAAAATAGATAAATAAAAGTGTAAATGCCCTATAATATGTTAAGTATCAGAATAAAACGTTTATCAGAGAAAATCTTTTCAGGGCCGGGCTTACGTTGTCGTACCGTTTCTGGCATCATGGCCGGTCATATATTCTTTCATATTTTGTGACAAAACAGCTTGAATACGGTTTATACATCAGTAAATTGCTGATGGTTATCAATTAGCTCATCTTGTCCAGCCAGACATAATTGAACTGGAAACCATGCTACAATTGTTCGTTTTACAGCTGTTATATCAGAAAATTTTAATTTAAACCGATAGTTCCGCCTTTAAAATAAAAGTTTGATTGTAATCCGTTGCAAATTTAGGAAAATGCAGCTCTGCAAACTTACAAAATTTCATCTGAGAGACAATATGCGAGGTATACTGTAGATTTTCGATTTACTAATTATTGTAGGTCGTTCTATTCAACGGCCGGCAGACTTTCGTTGAATTTGCTTTTTTAATAGTGATCATGTTGTTTAGGAATGAGCTGAAGGCACAAAAGTGTATTAATATTGCCCCAGCAATCACCATGGCAATCACATGCAATTCAACGTCTGCTGCACAGTTACTCCTAACACATGGTTCCAT